GGCCTAGAAGGCCTTAATATAGCTCCTAAGTCAGACTTAAATAGGAAATTTACGACCCCTTACTTTCCAACTTTGGTAGGCCTATTCTACCTGGAATAATTAGTAATTAATTATTATTTGATGTTCTAACTACTCCACAAGCCTTCAGGGATCGTTTGTTAGCGATAAAGAATGGATATGGCTGTTGATCAGAACAAAAACTTGTATATCACCTAAACAGTCCAATTAATGTTGGGAAATATTCGATTAATTTACTTCGAAAAATTAATTTTAAGTTAATTACACTTTACGTTTCCCTCCTATTAATTCACTTGAATAAAAATTTCATTATTTTTTACTATTCTGTTTTTCAATTTTGTTTTGGCTGTTATTTTATGAAAATCACGGCAATATAACTTCCATAGACTAAAACATCTGGATAACAAAAACATTTAAATAAAATGTTAATATCAGTTTTTTTAAAATTAAACTCAATGATATGTGTACAATATGTATTAATTAGTTGTTTTGGGTACTGAGGATAAAGCGCTTCTATATATTTTTATTAACTGTATTCTTTCTATTTATTTTAGTTTTTATTTGTAGCACAAAGCAGTATAATCACTTAAGTCGTAAAACGAATACATAAATAAATAAATGGATTTATATATTATGTTTTTTTTTTTGTGTTTTTTTTCCTACGCCTAAGTAACGCCTGCTTCATCAGCCATGCGTGCTGTCCAATATAATTTTGCTCTCATTAAAGGATGCCCTATAATGTAGGGCATGTATCAAAATGTTCTACTGTCATCATATCTAAGGAACATAGAGGGCATGTCGGGCTATCTTTTATACCAGACTTATTTTATGCTTCTGAAGGAAATCATGCCCTGTGAGCATTCTAAAGCATGCCACGGCTTGCCCTCTAGTGAAGTCTCTAGGGATCCTGCCACTTTCTTCGAGCAATCCACTCCAACGTTTCCCTTCAATCGTTTGCACATATTTCTCCTTCAGTGAACTTTGGAGGGTCTGTTTTATAATTCTTTTCGTTGAATCCATACCCAGAGGAATATCTGGTTGGCTCATTCCAGAACCTATTCTGGCCAGTTTGTCAGCTTCATCATTTCCGTGGAGCTCGCATTGGCCTGGTATGCTGGCCTGGAAAGCGACTTCTGTCCTATTTTCCTTTAATCGGTTCAAATATAGGTGGCATTTAGGGACATTTGGATTTATATTATACCCATTTTGGAGAGACGAAATGGCTGCCTGTGAGTCAACAAAGAAAGCAACTTTCTTGTCTTTCCGTTCAATTAAACTCTCGAGGCCTAAGAGAATGGCTTTCCATATATTATGTGGATTTATAGTATATATGGATTCTTAAGTAGATAAATGGATGTTTATATTTGAGGTTAACTTTCCACTTGTTCCCACCAATCTATGGAGATTAATGTCTTACTAATGCGGTTTCATGATTCTTTCATATATCCGTAGGTCGAAGTTAAACTATTGTAACATTTTCAATGTTTTACCAAATTTAAACTTGGTGTTGTAATTGGATGCATCTGACAAGATGTTAGGATTCATGGAAAGTAGATTTCTTCACATGCATCGGTCATCTGAAAGTCTTGAATTCGGGGATAAAAGACTCCCGACTGTTATACCAGGTTTAAATATTTGTAGACGTTAATTTCTCTAACAATCTACCTATCAAGGTTTTTAAATAGATATACAAGTAAAATTACATAAGATGGATATGGTTCCCCGATTTCTTAAGACGGTTTTGTTTTTCAATCAAAATCTTTTTTCTCTTTTTGCTGTTTTACGATAAATAGTGTATAATGCTAGTAAAATATGACCACGTTAATGAAAAACGATATTAAAATGCAAATAAGCAAAATTAGGCTTAAAACAAGATTATCTCAGGCATTACTTTTTAAATCATAGAAAACAATGTAATGAAAAGTATTTTTTTTTTTTTTTACCATTTTTAAGATTTTTTCCTAAACATCTATGATGTACATTATATTACATATACTGTTCACAAATTCAGTCCTGTTCTTGCACTTTGCAAAACCAAGACTTTTGCCAAAAGTCTGACTTTTGCAAGACCAAGAACAAGACTGGAACAAAAAAAAAACTTTTCTGTGAATGAAAATGAAGGCCAAATAGTTACTGATACTTGAAAATTTTAGTTACTTTATGTAAAGAATCGGTATAACCAACATACTTTTGCATTTACCTCTTCCAATATTTCATTCAGGCTTGGTTAGGTTTTTCCTATCTGAAAAATTACAATAACATCTCTATAATAATAGGGTTATAGGTAACTGCATGACTGTGCGAGACTCTTGTGCAAGACCAAGACCAAGACCGAAACCGAAACCGAGTGTGCAAAACCAAGACTCCTCTTGGACTCGCATTTGGACAACACTAACTAAATATCGACAAATGTGTTGCAAATATAAATGCCAAAACTAAAATAAGACTTAATATGAAATGAATAGTGCATTTTTTATTTTATGAACCAGATTTTCCATTCAGTTTTTATTACATGCATATAAAACAAAAATATAATGTTTCAAAAAAAGTGTTTGTTTTAAATTTCCGATTATATGTGAATTGACCAGAGAAGCTCAAAACCGTATTTTCTCATAAAATTGTACTTACAACCGTTTGTAGCATTAACTGTTCATATCGTAATCTCAATTTGAAAACTTGACTGTAAATACATTTTGGTATAAGGGTTATTATAGAGATGCGAGCTAAACCATCAAGAAAGTTTAAACCCATACCTTTAGAGAATATTATTTGTAGGTTAAAATTATTTTTTTAGAATTTTATAATGTTGAAAAACAAAGTCCAAAAACTGCATAACTACTCCTTTTCTATGTAACCATGGTATCGGGACTAAAACTAATTAACCTATGTAACCGCTTGACCTCAATCCCGCAACCGCATAAGTAAGACATTAATGCTTGTAGATTGCTGGCAACAGGTGGTAAGTTGGCCTCAAATATGACAATCCATTTATTCAGATGTATTTGTATTAACAACGATGATGGATGATTACACTGTTTTGTACTGCCAGTAAAAACAAAATTGAAAGAAAGAAAAATACAACATATAAAAAATATTGTAACAATCTTTATTGATTTTTACTAAGCAAGAATTGAAATTTGGTTCCAATACTTTTTATTTAATTTCTTCTTTTATTTTGTTTCCAATTCAGGAGAGCTTTCAAACCAGGAAGTAAGGAAAACATGGAGCAAACGACCGTGATTGTAAATAAACTACAATTTTTATCATTTTATTTTTCCTATGCTTCACGTTTTCGAATATACGGGGTTTTCCGAACCAGATGAGAGGGCGGTGGAGTAATGCCAGAATTAAATGCCACCAGCACTGAGACTCGAACTCATAAACGCTTTAGTCCGCTCGGCCACCCCTCCATATAATTGTACTCTCACTTACAATCCAGCATACGGAACTTTGAATTTGTCAATAATGGAACGATTGGAATAGCATTTTCTATTCAATATATTTCCCCACTTTTGTTTATACTATTTTGGGATTTTTCGTGTCCTTTGACTCATTGTCAAAAAATGTGCTGGATGGTATAAAGCAGAAAACGTACCGTTTGTGACTTTGCATATCATTCTAATTTATCATAGAATGTTGATCGTGATGTCTATGTATGCCTATAATCTACTTGTACATACCTTTCTTTGAAGATCAGAGCGCTGGAGAACATAGGTGAAAAAAACTATTGATTCGAATGAAAACAGTTGATTCAATGGAAGCAATGTGGCAATATTTACCTTCATTTTCTTCCTACCTAGGCCTCAACTTAATCTCCTTTCTGTCTTTGACACTTATCTCTTTAATATATTACAGCATACCATTTACTGATTACTAAAATGTTTGTATGTTTTGATAGATATTTATTCCCTTAATTCCGTATCCTTATATGTGTCCTTATATGAAATCCCTATATGTTCATTGTGAAAAATAAATAGTAATCCTTCAATTTGATGTTAATACGATTCTTCAAAATAATTGTAAGCCAGAGCATACCTTAGAGGTCAATAACCTAGCCCGCAACGCCTTTGATTTATAGTTTTTATAATCAGGATTCATCATCAATTTATATGTAAAGAAAAAAAAATTGGATTTTAAAAAATTTCATTAAATTATTGTTTGAATTCTTGCAATACAAGGTTTGTGTAGTTAGTAGGTTAGAACTAAGTTAGTGCGTAATGCTAAATTGTGAACGCGTTTTAAAATTACCTGAAGCGATCACATTCATCCCTCTTCATCAGGCCCTTTCCGTAAGATGATTAGTAACATTTTGCAGCAATCTCCAGCTTGTTTTTTTTATGGGATAAGGGATTATCAGTCATATACCTAATCCCAAACCAGGAGAACCAGGAGCTATAGTGGTAAGGAGAGGAGGGGGGAGGGGGGTCGCTCACCTCCCTGTGAATCTCTGAGTGGGAACGTTACCGTCAGGAGGATGTTGTGACAAGTGGGGATTCTAAACCGTAAATATTTTGGCGGCTCGTTAATCCAAAAGTTTCAGCGTTTTGAAAGTGAAGCTAGAATTTAACTTTTTTTTTCATATTTGTTTAGTTTTATCGTTAAGAATTTTATGAACCTTCTAGGTCATTTTAAAATAGTTTAAGTTAAGGAATTTTAAAAGACCTGAGCTCTTTTGAAATCCAAAGTCCTTTGTGACTGCTATCCGCTTTCCTGAAAAGGATTAATATAAATAATGGCTGAATTTTGTTGTTTAACCTAGAGGAAAACATGTGACTAATTAAAATCGCTCGAGTTTTCAAAATTATCCTGTACATCTATGTGGAGAAAAAGAAAAAAAGATATATCAAAATTTTCCCTTATCTGGAATCGGAAGAACCGCCAAAGGGACTGATATTGGATGATAGTGGAGCTCCCTGGCGGTGGATGGCAACACTGAGAAGGCGTGGTGGGGAACTCATATGGCTTCATTCCCCTTTGAAAATCGTTGTCGTACGGTTGGGCTCACCTCCCGTGACCAATATACGATCGTATCTCTTGTTTACATCGAGAAATTTCGGATAAAATAACAAGTTATTAGTGCCAAAGTTTCTTGAAGCAAGCACCTGGATATTCCGAATCGTAGAATACTGAGGTGAGTGTTATCACTTTTGTTTACTTTTTTTTTATAGAGAATTTTATCTTAAGACCCGGTACCTTTCCGGTTTGAACGGTTTACTTCTCCACTTAGCAAGTTAAAACTAGCTTTTCTGCTAGAAATGTTAGTTTTTTCATGTTCATGGGTATATTTATTTATTTTTTAACAACTATTATAGCATTTTTTATTCTGATAACAATTGATTATAGTTATTTCTACATTGAACATGAATATAAATAATCTTAATGGCTGTTATTATAGCTTTTCCAAAAGAATCATGGTTATAATTGATTTCTGTAGATTAGCAATAAAGAGCTCAATTTTTTATATCTAAAGTAATTCCTTTTCTGATTCACTGATATGCCTCTCACATGTAAAACTTATGCTCTGTTTTAATATAATTTACTGCCATAGTGTTGATAGAATACCACAGACTAAAAAAGATAAACCAAATAGTTATTTTAAATGAATGGTGCTTGGTCAGTAATTTATAATAGGTCAGCCTGCCCTTATTACAGCAGTGTTGTTTCCAATAGACCTAAAATATGAATTTGTGTTTTTTTTGGCGCAAATCTCATTTGTATGCTTGATATGTAAACCGATGAATTCTAAAATGTTATACCAATATCACTTATGTTAGTTGTAAGTGATAAGTTTATTCAGTGATTAGTAAATTCAGTTTTTTAAATGTTAAAATAAAATATTGTATACAGTTACAAACACAGTTGTAATTCATATTCATAAGTTAGAAATTGGTTTTAATTTAGCGTGTCAAATTTCATTGAATAATTTACTTTTATTGAATTTAATCAATAAAAATACTTATTACTTATACTCCAGTAATTAAGGTAAACCCTTGATTTCGTTTCTCAGATCTTTGTAAATTTTATATTCAAATATATTCATTCCTTTCACAATATTAATCAAAATATAGTAATAGTTTATCTCTTTTTTTTAATTTAATGGCCAACCTTCAACTTGAAGAAAGTTTTCAATTACAATATGTTAATAATACAATTGGTTAAAAGTTCATAATGTTAACTTATACATGAACTTAGTCAATAAAAAAATGTTGATATTTTTAAATATGACAATACTGATAGTATTTTATGATTTCTCATTTCATCTAGTACCATTTAAAATAAATATTGAAAAAGTTAATCTATTATTAAAAATTTTAATTTGAGCTTTTGAATGCTATTGACATTCCTTTCCACACTTCAAACAAATTGTTTATTTGTGGCTTTTGTGAACTAATTGATCGTATTGATTTTAGTCTAAAGATTGCTGTAGTAAATATATTGACAACAGAAAGAAAAAGTTTATTATTATTTTTTTTTTGTAATTCAGTAATATATATAAATTGCTGAAATGTTGAATAGTTAACTTAAAAGTGAATATGAATTAATATTTTTTCTTCTGTATTATCATTAACTTAATTGATAATGTTGATTTGAACATAACTTGGTTCTTTTGAAATAAATTGTACATTTTTACAATTTTAGTGATAAAATAAAATAAATTTCTTTTATAGATTTCATGTTAATTGCTATAATTTCTTATTTGTTGAATTTTATTATAGAATTCCTGTAATTATTAATGTTTGTATTCTATACATTATACTTTTTTTTTTAATTCAAAATTTACCAATTTGCAACTCATCTCATAGACATCCTTTTTACTGCACTGTAATTTGCATCATAATATTTGAAGTATTTTTTATGTGAAGTTTTGCACATTTGTTAGTATTTATTTTAAAGATATAAGTAACTATTTTAATTAAAATGTTTTTGAAAAACTCAAATTTTTATTCTATGTAAGATGTCTCGAGTAGTTACAAGAAGTATAGTAACATCTGTAAGAAGGGATATAACTGACATCCTTTTTCTTTTCTTTTTTTAAGTAAGTCAATAATAAGTGACACAAGTATTTATATACGAGTATATTACTTTCACTGAAACTGCAATTTAGATTATTAGAAACAAAAAAAAATGTTGGTACTCCTACCTAAAATCTGTATTTTATAAAATCAAATATGCATTCCTTTGGTGATATTATTAGCTTCAGTTAATATACTTTGCAATAAGTTTTCAATAGTTTGCTTTGTTTTCCTCGATTCTGTAGAATGATACAATAATTCTCTTTTCTTTAATGAATTTATGATGATAGTTGAGCTAGCTTTGTTTACACTAGTACCATTGATCTTAAAATGGATTGTTTTCTCTCAATAGTTCATTGAGCAATGTATTTTATCTTTTTTTTGATTTATTTATGTTTTGTAGCTATTTCTTTATTCAATTTAATTTAAAACTTTCCATATCTTACTCCAGTGATTGTTACTGTGTTATGATCACTGGCGGATCCTATTTTAAAGATTTAATTTTGAGGGGGAGTGGGCTTCAGCCCGATAGGTTTTTTTTTTTCATATATATAACGATAATTACTTTGGAAAAAAAAGATAATAAACTAACTACTTATATGAAATATTATTTAAATGATAGTTGAAGTCCTATTAAATGTAATTACATGAACAATAAGAGATACATTAAGAGATAATGTTTTCATATTTTTTCTCATAAAACAGGGTTACATTATACCATTTTGAGGGAGGGGGCTTCAGCCGGAAAGTGTCCTCCCCCCGTTAGATCTGTCTGTGGTTATGATTAAATTGAATGCAGTGCAACTGTTGAAATTGTGGGATTACAACTGACATCTTACAAACCGATTTTTCGATTTAAAAGTCACGTCTTTTAAGTTGCATTTATATTTATATGCTATACATGCACTGGATTGACACTGAAAATACATAATAAGCTTTCTGACGTGACTCGAAGCCCAATAAACCGTGCGGTTCCTAAGGACTTGTTTTATTTCGTCCCTTGTTTTTATCACAACTCGACCACTGCATCAGACTGGACTGTTTTGCCTACAAATTTTTTTTGAAAGAAATTTAATCGCCTCTTGTCGCCGAAATATCATGGCCATGTAGATTTTTGTTTGTTTCTTTCTTCATCGTATAATGTTTAGAACAAGCCTTCATGTTTGGATAAAACATTTTTAGGTAGTCAATTTTTTAATACGTTTAAAAACCATACTCCTTATTAGCCAACATTTGGTATATTTAATGCAACTAATTTTGTTTTCATGTGATTTTCGTCAATAAGTACCCGATTTCAGAGATACGCTGCGGAGATTATTTGTACGTAAGTGTTTATTAATGTTCTCATACATTGGCATAATTATGTGTTAATAATTTTTCCACGCCTAATTATCAAGCGTGATCATTATGTTCATTACTTGGAATAATATGCTTCTTAATAGTTCAAATGACGTAATTTGAAAAATTAATATTTACGAATGTTTTATTTGTGTTTATTAATTAGAAATAATTCATCGCTTAATCATCTTTTTATTTATAAAATAATATATTTTCAATAAACAAAAATTTTCTGGTTTAATTAAGTTCATACTTAAAATTTTGACAATCATCTTTTATTTTTGAATTTGATAAACTTTGTTGAATTAATTTTTAATTAATGTTTTTTATGCTACATTTTGACATTTTCTTCCTTACAAAATTTTATTTTGTGTTTCCTACTTTTTTTTTTAATTACGTCAATGTTCTTTCAGTTTTTTACTTGTTCTCCGATTATGATTTTATTTATGTCAAACTTCACTCAAAAAGTAAAATCGGCAAAAAGAAAAATCAACGAAAAAAAAACTAGTTCACTGTTTCTCCTCTTCCTAAACGGATACGATTTTTCCTTATTTATTAGTTTTTATAAATCTTTCTTTTTTCGTATTTTTATAGTTTCTTTTTACACAATTTTGCAATAATAATTGTATTAGTAGTTACTTTATCATATATGTGGGTTGTCAAGATGATTATACTGAAGTAAATTTTGTATTGTGCTGAAGGTTAGACAGGTGTTCTTGAAGGTTTTTATTTTACTTTCAGTGACTCCTAACCAGTTCTAAAGACATAATCATTGTAATGTTACAGAGGCTGATGTAATATAATATCAAGGTCTTATGAGAATGTGCAGTAAGATTATTCAAATGCTGTTGCCAAGTCCATTATCATAGTCCATTTTAAATATAGTTTAAAAAAAAAAAAAAAGATGAAAATAGAAAATGATCAGGTCAAAAATAAGATTAAACGAAAAATAATTATGGTTCAGTATATCAAACAAAAATATGTTTACATTTTATCCTGGAGTTGTAAATAATGTCTGTTATACATTCCCTCATATGAATAGCTTAGCCACAATAAAATAATTGTGGTTTCCCTTGATTGAAATGGAATTCACTCTGGGGCATGGGATAGGTATTTGTTTCATCTCGTTTTATATTAATTAAAAATATATACCAAATCTAGGCTGCAAAAACACCTAAAAAGGCTTCAAAAACTTATTGATAGGCATATTTATCAATACCAAAAAATTATCAATCCAAAAGATAGTTACAATTAACCGATTATTCTCTGAATTGGAAATGAGAACTTAAATTTCATTATTTTATATATATTTTTCTTCTTTAGACGACGATTTTAAATTTTTATTACAATCCTATTTTTTCATTTATATGAAGTTTCCTTATGGCCTAAGTAAATTGGAATTGGGTCCAGTTATTTATGCATCTTTTACATATTTAGTTGTTGAACTTCGATTAGGTTATGAATAGGTGGGGGGATGGTAAAAAAAATTACCATATTTGTTTCCATAAGTGATCTGATGGCTGGCTAACTTGAACAGTAAACATATAACTCTTTTATAATATATATAGCAACTACTTTCTCATATAGTTTCTTTTTTTTTCTCACAGAGTTATTACCGCTATAAAATAAAACACCACCAAAAGATATTAAATCCTAGATCGGCTACTGGGTAATGAAACTAGAAAATTTAATAGTTCATGACAGTTATGTGCTTCACTTCTGATGGATTTCGGTTGTTAATTTCTATATCAGACAAATACATTTTCGCAACGAATAGCGA